AACGCGACGTATCAAATCTGATCGATAATTTATTTTTAACCGACATTACGTGGACGCATTGTTCATTCATTCGTCTGTAAATTTTAGAAACAGCGTTTTAGAAAACTCTAGAAAATCAGCGACGCGGTCGTAACATAGTTCTTTTGAAACGAAGAATAAAGAGAAGAGCAACGAGCATTCACGCAAACTTCGACCCGTTCGTTCTTCAGAATTTTCCGCAGATAGGATCTAATTAACCCGTCCGCGACATGAAACTGGTTTTTGTAGAGCCAACCAGAATCACATTTTCGTTAATTAACTAGACCATCGATCGTTGAGGAGGTACAGCTAATTCCCAGGAACCGAAGTCCAATATTCCAAACTTATCGTTTAAGTACGGTGTGACAAAAAAAAAATGACGAAAAGAATTCGTCTGTTTCGCAGGAGGAACGCTCGATACGAAACCTCATTGCCTGGCCATTGTAAATCGTTCGACATGTGCAGCTCCACTCTTCGGCCCGGCGGAAGTCCGCGGATACAAACCCATTGTTTCCCGATAGCAATCGTACATCGATCACAGCGAACGACTCGCGATACTTTTGCGCGAATCGAGCCGTAGAGTCGAGTATCAACTCAGTATCAAAGCGGCTGAAAATCGAGAACGGAATCCGTGGGATTTTCAACGAGAATGAAGATCGCAGGCAACAAGAAGCAACGCAACGATTCGAAGGCTTCTGTCCAAGAGTTGCAGTTGCAACCGGCGGAGAGAATTTCCTGGCAAGTGGAATTTATCGAGTCTTCTGGAAATAATGTTGAACGACACTTTCTGACTTTCACGAAGTGCCATTAGAATTGGCGGGCAACAAACTCGCGTGATTTTCCCCACGGGGGGGTTGGATCTTCCCCGAGGATATTTCAGCGACCTACTGATTTATAATTGACGCGACTAAATTATGCACGGGCGGTTCATTACGTCGGATCGGCGAAAAGCAACGTCTGCCTGTAAATCGTATGGAAACATGGAAATATTAATTTACCAATCGATGGCACGGGCAGAACGGGAACCGTCATTATTCTCCCTGACGATTATTAATAATCGATGCCCGTAAACAACTGCAATTTCACTGGCAACGTATTGTCACAAGCAATGGCCAGTTCTAGGAATTAAATTCGCGTGATTAATCATCGAAATTCATCGACGGGAAAGATACGAATACGAACCAAGGACGAACAATAAACAGGAGAGAAATAAAGTATTTTATCTCAAAATTCCAGCTCTTTATCGTAGAGATTAGATGATCTAGACGTACGCGATAACGAAATTCTTACGTTAAAAATCCCCTTTCTTTTGGGGGATTTTCAATTCGATACCACGGTTTATTTACGTCTCCGCATAAAATGGATTAGGAAACTTGTAATCTGGCTGCGAGCGTTGTTGCGCGATCGAGTGGGGCAATTTGCGTTAGCAAAGCTTCCCCTATGTGAAGAGAACTCAATCAACGGATATATACTGGTTGTCGAGAAATGCATTCGCGAAATGGCGAAAAATCATCGATTCAGAAACGGCACAAATATATAGATATAGAGACCGATTGCGCTTAATATTTTTAACAAGAGATTTGCAATTAAAGCAAGAATAAGTTAAAATAAGCTAAAATCGTTGACGTTTCGCGTGTCTGGAGGAACAGATTCAGTTCTTAACAACAGTGACAGAATCGTCGAAACGTCGCTGGAACCGGAAACGTTTCGCGTGCAGAGGCGCATTTAATTCGACCGGGACGCTGCGAGAAATTAGTATGCGATGCGTTATGCCGCATACGTTGCCCGCGTTCGTTCGACCGGGCACGAATTAAAGGAACGAGCAATAGCGGGCTGAGGAAAGCTCGGCAAGACGTGCAAGAGCTCCCAGACGATGCTCGGCCATTTTCCCATAAATTCGGTGCAACCGGTTCCGAAAACGTAAAGGTGCTCACACGACGCGTGAATGAGACTCAGTATGCCTGAGGCCATTCACCTCGTGTGTGATTTGGAGGAAAGCTTCACCTTTTATTCGACACGCATTCTACCGAGTCAATCAACGCGTTTTTCCTTTCCCCCCCCCC